GTGTTTTTTTTTTTTTTTTTTTAGTAAGTTGGCTCTTTTTTTTTTTTTTTGATTTATGCAGAAACGATTTGATTCTGTCCTGCAGCACCACAATACCCACTTCTGCCTGTAGCAAGTGCTGATCTGATTAGACACAAGACAAGACAAATGATCTTTAATGCAAACCTGTGGCTAGGCAATCTACATAATCTGAAATCATCCCTCATTGGTTTCTAGAAAGAGAAAAGCTCTTCCCTGTCCTGGAATAGCTGTTATACTCTGGCAGTCTGAGTCTCATTGCCTTCCCTCTATTCCAGCGCTGTGGCCTCTGACCCTCACAGCAGAAGTATGTGCTGTGAAGCAAATCCTCCTGAAAAGTTCAAATTGTCTTGGCCAGATCTGTCTCCCCCCCCTCAGCAGGGAGTCTGCTACTTGACTCTCTGCTTCTTCCAGCAATAACTGCGGGGCACTTTCTATTGCAACCAGGAGTTGTTGTAGATTAAGCTAAGATGTTGAGGAGAATGCAGAACATTTCATATCTTTTGCTGTTTTTTTATAAGGGTTATTTGCTTCAGTGCTTGCAGCTACGTAGGCATTGCATTTTGGGAATGTCAGTGCTGCAATGCCCATAGCCTGGGCACTGGAGAATTTTTTTATAAACAAGCCTTCACTGACCATGGAGCAATCCATCCTCAGGTTGACAGGTCCTCGGCTCCCTGCGCCCATATAACTTTTTCCATTTTTCTTTGGAAGGCTGCTGAGGGGGTGCAGGCAGAGCTCTAGCTGCTGATAAACTGTTTGCTGCAGATGAGTTGCTCCACATTGCCTGCGGCTCTAGAGGTCAATGGAGCCGTGTATGAAGTCTAACTTCAGTTACTTTAAATTTGGATTCCAGTCCCTAAAGCAAACCTCCGTTTTTAGGAGTTTGTTATAATGCAGCTGAATAAAGTAGTTCTGACTGACCCTGCCTATAGATTTTATACAGACGCACTGAGGCAATGTACAAGGGAGGGAACATTTTCTGCGTCTAACTGCCTTGTAAAAGTAAAGCTTTGCTTTTAAGGTGTAGATAAACCACTGGATTATACCCAGAGTTCAAGTATCTAAAAAGGCATGTGGTATAGGCAAACTGAATTATACAAAAATACCTAAATAGACAAATTTTACTGTTTTTTGTCATACAGTACTGTGCTAAAGTTTACAAAGTCTATATTTTTAATACATTCAAATTTTAGTGCCTCAAACACAAGTGTCCAAATTATCTGCAAAATAAAAGGTGAGCCAGAGTCATGTAAAGATGACAAATGTTTCAAGAGTCAAAACTGCAAGTGCCTGCATCAAACTAAAATACCAAAATTGTCCATACACTTTAAGACCTCAACAGGTCATTGACTTGATTAACATACAATAACCCAAGACATATTGTATGTACACATGCATCATATACATGTTCATATGGGCTGTTGTACAAGGTATACATGGCTGCTATTGCTACAGCAGTAAACGTTTACATGTCCTTGCTGCCACTGACTTGTCTCCTTTCACAGGCTTTAACCCTTCAGCTACATTTGACAACTACTTTTATAAAAAGAAACCACACACAAGATTAGTCTGGCACACTGAGGAGTTCCCAACGTAGAAAGACCTAGTTGGCTTAATGGGTTTTCTAGTGAAAACCAAAAATCATCAAACCTTCATGGTTTGAATATCAAATGTATTTAGTTTCATACGGAAAGTTCTCCAAGTTAGTACTGCGAATCCTGTAAGGGTGCAATACTTCAGTTGCTTCAGATTTTCTCCTGAGGCATCTTTGTAATTTTAGACTTTGATTTTTGGGCAATACCCCAAGCTGTTGTGTCCCATAATGTCTGGCAGTATTATCTCTGCATTCAATTGTATGGAGGTTGCTCAGTAAAAGAATACTCCACGCACATAAATGAGTTTTTGCAGCTCGGCATGAAGACCAGATTTCTGCACCCGTATTGACTTTGCCTTTTTACTAGGTCATATAGTTTGAAATTAAACCTTTCCTGAGAATCAGTCAATTGGTTTAATTGCTAATCAAAAGCTTGCCATTCACACACTTTAGGATTTCAGATTGATTCCTAAAGGTGCCCATACACTGCACGATTCTCGTACGAGAATCGCGGGAAATCCCGCCATCGTACGAGAATCGTGCAGTGTATGGAAGGTGTGCGACCGTTTCTACTGTACGGTTGCACGTCTTACGTCGAACCAGCACACTGCCCGTTTGCAGTCATCGGGGGCGGGCTTGCGATGATCGTAAGTACGATCTGCCTGTCCAAGAGGGGCAGATCGTAGGTTTTTTAAAAGTACTTTACAACCCTCGCAAGACAAACGTCTTGCAAGGGTTGTAAAGTGTATGGGCACCTTAACAATGGGTGCCAAATTACTATACTTATCAGATCTGCCTATCAGTTGTTCACCCGGACCCAATCTGATGCCTAAGCAGACGAGTCTATTTTGCTCAGCTACCCCTGAATCCAGACAGGGCCTTAAACCACAAAAAATAACTAATGGAGCAATGTTCAGTTTTGATGGAGCTGATTGTGCTGGATCCGGGGTAATCTGATGTAAACACGCATGTCCATTTACATCCTATTCCCGATAGACAGGCGTGGGGTCCAGTCATTTCAGTTTTATTTTCTGCATCTCAAGGTGGAGAATACTAGACCAACACGGATGTCACAATGGTGACATTGGCTCTGTAACGCTCCAGTTAGAGTCCCCTTCTGACCAGCACGTGTGAAAGGGGCCTAAAACTCATTTTGTTATATAGATCTTGTTTTTGACGGGCTCTTTCATCTTGTCTTGCTTGGGATAATTGTCTTGGCACATTGACTAAAACTGTTTTTTGCTTCTCTTGCAGAGTTAGTACAAATGATGACAGGAAAGTACAAATGATGACAGGAAAGTGAAGACAGAATGTACAGAATGTGTTACATTTCTTGTACAAAGATGTTTATTTGCCTTTCTTTGTTAGTAATGGGGAACATTTTACAGATAAGTTAGTCAGATTGCATGAATTTTTTAGAATTAGAATTTTTAGAATATAATTTTAGAATTCCAAACATGTTTCCCGTATTGTCACTGTCTTTACTTTTACATTTTACTCTTTTTGGTTTCCATGAAAAGTTGATCAAGTAACAAATGCTGCATGTGGCTTACTCTGGATTTTTCTCAAAGCCCTCTGTGCACATGGAAGAGCTGGATGAATTGGGTCACACAAGGAACATCTGGGCTCTACAGTTTATTTTATTTAATTTTTTTTGTTTCAAACTTTTTATTAGATTTTTCAATACAATCAACAAGCGGTATACTTATAAGATCACATTTGTGCGCGCAGGCACAGGATTTATCCATGCATTGAAGTAATGTGATGTAACTATTTAGATATACATTTTCTAAACCTGTAGATAGCATTGTTAAACAAGAAATAGAAGGAGCTAGGAGATTGAGGAAAGAAGAAAAGTCCCGGAAGTCTGGGGGAGGAAGGATGTAAAGGGGTCGAAGAGGAGGCAATGAGGTTCTACATCCACCCCCGGGAGAGAGAGACAAGAGAAGAAGAGAGAATCAAGAAAGAAGAGAGATAAAAAAAAGTAGTATAGAAGGGGAGACAGACGTTGTCTCACGAGTCTCCATCGGGTCCTGCTCACATCATTCACCACCTTTCCTGTCATTCGCCTGCGTATCTCCCATCCGCTGGCTAACTGCAAGTGAATGAATGAGGCCCCAGAAAGGCCACATCTCCACCCCAGAAAGGCCATCCGCCCCCCCGTGGTAGTCTTTACATCTCCCCTAACAGGGCAGCATATTCCTGTTATTCTGACTCTGATTGTTGTGATAGCGTTATATCCCTTGCTGAGACCTCTATGCCTGGCCTGTATAAGCAGATATACTCACTGCGGACAATACTTGTCAGATACCTGAACTCGTCAATACCGTTTCATCCAAAAGAGGTGCTTTATTCTTAACATCAGGGGAACAGCAGATGAATGGTTTCAGTATTGTGCGGTCAAAAGATGATGCCTTTCCTAGCGTACTACGCAGAGTACATGTGTCCTAGTTACATGTGCCCTGTTAGCTGTGGCCATGACACAGGAAGTACTGACCAACAAGAAGAAGGGAGGGGCATACATAAAGAGGAAATATGTTGTAGATCAGAAAATAATTACAGAAAAACAGGTGTTATCACGAAAGGCCACTAGATGGCAGCATGTGAACTTACTATATAAAACGTCCATAGAAAATGGGATAGAGAAACAATCTATATAAATTCTCATTCAAAAATTTTTTATTTGAAAATTGCAAGTGTACAACAAGGCTTCACTGATCGCAAACTACAGTGTAGCAATCTTCAACCATACAGTTTAAGGGAGTACAAAGAGCACATGTAACAATGAACATAACACAAGACCATAGAAAGAGCAGGAGGACCTCCCAAGGCCGGTCCGGATTAGATCGTTAAAAAGAACATAACAGCACTATATACTATTTTGGCAGAAGATATAGCCCCTATAGGCAGTAGGTACAGTGCATTACATGTAAATCATGATAGATTATGGAAGCCAGCTCGGACTCGTATCAACGGATCACCGGGAAGAGATGGCTAGGGAGGGACCAGTTGGGAGGAGAAAAAGAAAGGAGAGAGGGCATTAGATAGAAGGGTAGGGGTGGAGATAGAAGGGTAGAGGTCCGGTGGACAAGTAAGCGAAGGTGTATCTTTCTAGTGGTCTAGTTGGTCATGGGTAGAAGCACAAACTTCAGATGGTGATCAAGCGTCTATTGAAGGTGGGTGGCAGGTAATGTTGTATCCAGGGGGACCAAATAGTTTCAAATTACCCCATAGAGTTGTCTAATTGTGCTGATCTCTTTTCGTGGGACATGATCCAAGTTATATACTGTTTGGTTCTGGAGATGCTAAGAGTAGGGGATTTCCATGATATATCTATTTCACGTTTAGCCGCTGATAATACCTGTAGCATAAGTTTCCGTTTGGTTAAAGGGAACCGTATGGGGAAGTTATTAAGAAGAGCTAGGGAAGGGTCTTTAGGTATAGTTCCATCATTAAGGATCGTAATCATGCGGAAAATAGGATCCCAAAATCTGGAGGCCGTGGGACAAGACCACCATATGTGGTAGTAGGTGCCATGTTCAGGACATCCTCTAAAGCACAAAGGGGATTGTTGAGGTGCAAAGGAAGCTATTCTAGTAGGGACCATGTACCATCGTAGAATAACTATATAATTAATTTCCAAAACATTGGTATTTTATGAACATGATTTTGTGTTCTTCCAAAGGTATTGTCTTCAACCCAAGCATATCTGATATAGAGATTGCCTTTTTAGATGTTTCCATTACCATCACTAACAACACGTTTTTGACATCTGTATACTCTAAACCCACAGATAGTAATACAATCCTACACTACAATAGTGCCCACCCCCAACACCTGAGAGACAATTTGCCGGTCTCTCAATTTTTGAGGGTCATGCGTATTTGCTCAGACCATAGTGTGCGTGCACAACAGATTGGACGCATGTATGATAAATTTAAAGGGGGTATCCCATTGAGGTCATTGAGCAGGCACTTACAAAAGCCACAGAGAGATTTGAGGAGGGGTCGAGTAAAGTCATCAAGCAGGAGAGGCCACCCTTTGTACAGACATTTACATCAGCTTCCCGGGCAATAAGTAGGGCGACTCAGATTAATTCTAATATCTTACAGGCTGACAAAACTTTAACACCAGTTATTAAAAACAGACCGTTGCATATCTACAAACGTAGTAATTCTCTCAGGGATCTGTTGGTCCAGGCGGACCCTAGACCCAAGTATGCCAAGAGACCATTTTCCTTCTCCAGCAGGTCAAGAAGTTACAGATGTCACCGCTGCAACATATGTCATTCCGTGATATGTGGTGAATCGTTTTTTCATCCCCACAGTGGGAAGAAATATAGTATTCAAGGTTATCATACCTGTGATACCGATTACTGTGTTTACCTATTGAAATGCCCGTGTGCATTAATATATGTAGGTAAGACAATTGGACCGTTTAAAAGAAGGTTCCAGAAACACAGAAGTGACATTCGTATAGCCATAGGGAAATTGTCTAAAGGAGAGGAGTTAGATCTCAACAAGCCTGTTGCAGTTCACTTTGCCACAGAGAAGCATCAAACACACGAACTCAAAGGCATGGTGATAGAACAGGTGCATAGACATCCTAGAGGTGGCAATAGAGCCAAAATGCTTCTCCAAAGAGAGGCACATTGGATCTACACACTAGATGCAGTGTACCCCAAAGGCCTCAATGTCAATCTGGGACTTACCTGTTTCTTGGAGGAGAGATAAAGGGTTTTGGCAAACAGTGCAGCGGTGAGCCTACTGCTTCCCTTGGTATTCAGAGGGACACGGAGACAAAGACAAAAACTCATAAATCCACAGTGGGCCGCATGAGTTACTCAGACGGCAGCTCTGGGGTTATTTTTATTCTCACACACATTCATTTTCACGTTTGGTTTTCACTTATATGTCACTCATATTTGTTGTTCCATCCATAATTTTCCTGCCTAGTGGATTTTTGCATACCCTATACATAATGTTGTTGTAATGCAATTATTTCATCTGCACATGGTAACATTTTTAAATCTCAATAACACATAGGGGGGCCCTGTCCGAGTGGGGCACAGCAACCCTCTTTATAGTATGGACATGTGCAAACGGTGCATATGCGGTTGCATTATAGGTGCATTGTTGATTGATATACTATTGCATTTCTGCCATAAGGCTTCATTATTGCCTGTTTCTGTTATAGGGTTGCATTACTGCCTTTTTTT